CCGGCTTCCTGGCCATATATATATATATATATATAAGGGCCCTCTAGCTGTGGTGCAACTACAAATCCCATTAGGCACTGTAAGACTGGCAGTCAAAGGCACAACTCCCAGTGGAAGATGCCGATTTGGGAATAGCAGGTGGCCATGTGGAGCAAATCTGGAAAGTAGCAGGAGGAAATTTGTATTCAAAAATTAAAGATTTTGGGTATATATAAACTTTAGGAGGCAAGATACAAACGGTGACCACAGCTGTATGCTATGTCCCACAGTGAATGGTAAGTGAAAAATTATAACTCACCTTTGGGCTAAATTGTCATAGGTATAAGCAACAGACATCAACCTCTGAATCATACACGTTCCTTGCACCAGAACTAAAAAAACCTGGAGAGAAAGAAAAATGGTGCAAATGAAAGTAAATAATAATAAAAAAAGCAAAAGTACTCGTACTGCCTTTGCCAACTTCCTTTAGAATTTTCTAGCTCCTATATCTCATATTAATTCTCTAACTTTAAAAACTAGTGGCACATTTAAAAAGCAGACCACACCACTGCTGTATCATTTTTTTTATTTTGTTCTTACTGTAAAATCCTTTTCTTGGAGTCACAGCTCTAAAGAATTCTGAGACGTAGGGTTACGCTGCTGCCTTCAGGAGAAATGGACAATAGGCAAAAAACTAAAAGCCTGCCACTTTAAGATTATAACCCCTCACACCTGCCAGGTACACCAAGCAGTACAAAAGTAAATAAGGGGAGGACAATGGAGAAAAGGATACTTTCTCCATTGCCCTTTGAGCTATGAAAAATTCTGAGGTGTAGGGACATCCAAAAGCAGTCCAAACAGAGGGGCGGGCATCATATCAATTAAAAGAAACAGCTCAACAAAAAAAGAACGGCCAAATACTCAAACAGCCGCCTGAAGAAGTTTTCTGCCAAAACTAACTTCAGAGGAAAGGATCCACAACGCGGTGACTTGGAAGGCCTGCTCTGTTTAAATGAAGAGATGACCACAGGTACTCCAGACCACTGCAGGATGAATCATCAGTACTGAGACTAGAAACTACCTGCTTCGAAACAACTAGAGAAATCTCCAGGATTTAACTTATCTGGCATGAATCTCTTGTCAGCCAGCTAGAGAAACTTCTAGGATTTGATATGATCTGCCATGAATCAACTAGCAGCTCGATGGTAAAATATCACTGAAGAAAACAAACCAAAATAAAAAAGCAGCAGAGAAGACACCCATTCTCCTGAAGACACCAAGTAAAACAAGGTTATGGTTATGTGAAGGGTTATGATTTCAAAGTGGAGGGTTTTAATTTTTTGCCTAGTGTCCATTCTTCTGAAGGCATTAGCATAACCCGACGTCTCATAATTCTTCAGAACAGTGTTCGACAATGGAGAAAACTATAGCCCGAAATTTATGAATGGGATGGGGAGCATAAAGGGGGCAGACAGCGATATCCACTCTGTAAGTGAATCACCAACCTTCAACATGTTTTCAGGTCAGGAGCGTAAATGGCTGTATTTCTCACTAGGCATTCTCTGGCTCCTACAGTTCTCAGGCCCGAGCACATGATCTCTCTTGCATGGATGACCCATTGTATTAGAAAAACAGAGTAAGGGTACTGATGAGAATGAAGGCAGTGAATGTGGGTCGGTGAGCATTAACTTGTCAGGAGGGTGGACTATCAGGAGACACAATCACTTTGCCTTGAATGGGCTTTACAGAATAATGCAATCATGCTGATTAAAATGTATGGAAATCAAGAAGAAATTCATGAAAATTCTTTACCTCTGTTAAACGAGGTATGTGGAGGCCTTTTGAATGATCTGCACCAGACTTTCTCGATTTTCCAGGCCAAGTTCTTTTCCTGTGGCTCTCTGCTAATCCCGACCAAGCAAAGACGTCATGATATGCCAGATCCAGATCAGCTGGGTCCACAGCAAACTGACATATCAACTTCAACAAACATGCTAAGCAGTCCAGCTGCCACTGTAAAGACATTGAACAAAACGATATTCTGCTTAATAACAAGATGTCATTCCTTATTATACATCAATATATGATAAGATTTCATTTATATTCTAAGTATACAGGTATTTAAATTCATTTCAACAGCTCCTAATTTTGAAATTATATGATCCTCTGAGCTGATCTTAAAAGTGACATTAAAAGGATAATTTTTTTTCCCCTCCCCCCAATGTTAATGTCAGCACTTACCTTAAATGATGTCCCTTAATCCGATCTTCTTCTTCTTTGCTGATGTTTTCATCTGTCCCTCAAGTGGTGCGGCAGCTCTCCGATCCAGCGCTGACTGCTCTCTGCCTGCAGGCACTTCCGATCCAGCGGTGTCTGCATGCGGGTGCACACGTCAATAGACTTACCTTGCGTCACTGCTCGTCTCCCGGCCGAGAATCCGAACTGCGCATGCGCCCGCCCCCAAGATGCTTTGCAGCCGCCCGAGCAGTTTTGGATTCTAGGCAGGGAGCACGCAGCGAAAAACAAGGTAAGTTTAAACCGCGGTTGATGCCGTTTTTTTTTTTTTACTTTTTGCCTATATCTACTGCTTGATAGCAGTAGATATAGGCAAAATAAACAGAGGGTTTAGAACCCCTTTAAAGTATATCTAAACTCAAGATTAAAATTTGTATATATTGCAGTTTACCAGTCATTAGATGTGGTGACTGCAGTGGTTTTCTTTTTCAGGCTAAGTACATTTTTTGCGAGCGCAAAAACACTGCTCTTGTAACTTCCTTTGCACTGAAAAATTTCAAATAATGTGCTTGTAGTTCAAAATAAGAAGCAGCCTACGTTTTACAGCACTGCTCTTCCACAGTTATAGTACAGTGAGAGAGCACTGTTGCCCTAGAAAGAAAGTGTGTCACCAACAGGATTGCCAGGTAAAAAAAACTTTAAAGAAAACTAATGCACCCACAACATAGGACACGTTTTATGATTCAGTGAGAACTAGTTTGTTTGCATTGCAGAAATAGTAAATGACAGCACTGTATAATGCATATGGAGAGCTGAAAAGGACATGAACTCACCACAGTCCAAGATTCATGCTCTCTGGGCTCCAAAATTCCAGAATTAAAGATTTCAATCAGTTGCTGTAGACCGCCAGCAGCTACAAACTAAAAATACATTGCATATTAATCAGACCAACATGTCAAGGGGGGAAGTCTCTATTACACAGATTATTTTGCTACTGTTCAATTGAGCAACATAAAATTGATCCTTCTCTTCTGTGACAGATGGCTTTAGATCAGCAAAACAGAAGAATGGAATTTACTGCAAGGATTGCAATGACTTGAAAAAGTTGTACAAAATTCACAGATATAAAAAAAAGTGTAGTTACTAGAAAGCTATAATAAATCAATTTAAAAACGGACACAAAACCAAAATTAAGATTGTGATTAATGTGGGTGTGTCCCGAGTCCATTACATGCAGGGCTTACATTCCCACCAGCCACTGTGTGTCCCCCAAAGAACAATAATGGAAAGAAAATAATACCTTGCAGCTCCACGTGTTTTTACTGTTCTCAATCTGATCTTCACTAGAATCATCAGAGTCTGGATACAAATCACTGTAACTGCCCTGTAAGATTGTGAAGAATAATTATATATATATATATGATAGCAGAGCTTCCCAACATAAGGGAGCTTGTGAGTCACATTTACATAAAATGATAAAAAGCCATACTAAATAAACAAAATCAGTTACAAAGACAAACATGTGGACACATTATAAGGAAATTTGAATTAGGAAACCTAAGCCTGGCTTTAGGGTGACAGAACTGTATAACGCAGCAGGATATGAAGATATTCACTTAGCACCTGGAAAAAGATGCTGCCACATCAAGAGTAGCTGAGGAACTGGTTGGGAAGACACTGGTTAGAGAGGTGCAGGTTGAAAGACGTGGGCTGGGGACATGTGGGCTAGGAAGATGCAGGTTGGTGAGGTACTGGTTGGGAAAACACAGTTTGGGAAGGCACTGCTGAAAAAGAAGCAGTTTGGGAAGGCACTGCTGAAAAAGAAGCAGGTTGGGGAAGGCACTGCTTGGGAAGATTCAGCCTTGGGAGGCACTGCTTGGGAAGATTCAGCCTTGGGAGGCACTGCTTGGGAAGATTCAGCCTTGGGAGGCACTGCTTGGGAAGATTCAGCCTTGGGAGGCACTGCTTGGGAAGATTCAGCCTTGGGAGGCACTGCTTGGGAAGATTCAGCCTTGGGAGGCACTGCTTGGGAAGATTCAGCCTTGGGAGGCACTGCTTGGGAAGATTCAGCCTTGGGAGGCACTGCTTGGGAAGATTCAGCCTTGGGAGGCACTGCTTGGGAAGATTCAGCCTTGGGAGGCACTGCTTGGGAAGATTCAGCCTTGGGAGGCACTGCTTGGGAAGATTCAGCCTTGGGAGGCACTGCTTGGGAAGATTCAGGCTGGGGAGGCACTGCTTGGGAAGATTCAGGCTGGGGAGGCACTGCTTGGGAAGATTCAGGCTGGGGAGGCACTGCTTGGGAAGATTCAGGCTGGGGAGGCACTGCTTGGGAAGATTCAGGCTGGGGAGGCACTGCTTGGGAAGATTCAGGCTGGGGAGGCACTGCTTGGGAAGATTCAGGCTGGGGAGGCACTGCTTGGGAAGATTCAGGCTGGGGAGGCACTGCTTGGGGAGACATTGCTTTGGGAGATGCAAGTTGGAAGGGCACTGATCTGGAGCTACACATTTACAAAGTGAAGACATTCTTATTTTGATAATATATGCTATACTTCTAGAAACAATAATACACTTTATATTTACTACTGGATGCAAAAAATTCAAAGAGAGAGGTAACAGTTTATAAAAAAATACTACAAAACTTACAGTTGACTCTCTTCTTATTCTTCTATTAGGCTTGCCCAAAGCTTCAATAATTTCAAGAGCATAGAGAAGTTTGTGGGCACTTTTTATGCGAAGCAAGTCCTTCCAACATGGTCCATCATTTCCCTTAAAAGAAAAAAGCAGATAGAGGAATTAAAACAAACAAAAAAAAAACAACAACAACAACAACAACAACAACAACAACAACATCTACCATCTAGTGAAAATCTGACCTTAAGACAAAGCAGCAAAATTCACAATTGAAATACATATAACAAGAGTTTTTACAGCCAAAAAGCTTGTAATACTGTTTGGCCACTTCCATGATCCAGGTCACCCAGCCATATAGCGCAGCTAGGTCCTCAAACTCATCTAAAGCCCATTTAAAACTGAGCAATGAAGCACTGACAGTGCATTGATTAGGTCATACCTCTACTCCCTCCCTCCTACTGCCAATAGATTGTCAGCTTTACCCCTTATTGGGTCCCAATGCTTCCCTCTCTTAGTCCAAGTGTTGCTGTGCAGGGGATTACTAGAGGCCAACATCAAGACAAATTTTGGTACTTTCACTAGTTGCATTTGAAACCAAATCTAAAGATTTTAATGAATACATAAGTGCATTAAATCAGAGTTTTTATAATATCTGTTTAACTTTTAACATCAGAACTTCCACATCCAGCTTGTGGGCAAACTCCATTATCATCTTGCAGTGCACTGCTGAGGAATAAAAAATTGAAATAGCCCGGCAATATTCTACTCACCTGCTCCTCAGATACATTCTGGAATGCCTGCAGCATATTGGGACACGTGGGCAGCAACATCAGCAGCTCCCATACACGCCTAGATAGGTTCTCTGCATGGAGATGCAGCTCCTCACACCTAGCGCTCTGTAATCAAAAGATACTCATTTCTATTACACATTTGGCAGCTGGAAACATTGTAAATATACAATTTAAACCTAATAAAATTAAAAAACTTTTTCTAAAGCCACTGCCTGATCCTACTCATGATTTTCCAACTCTTGTACTACCTGTATTGTAGAGTTTTAATGTTTGATTATACTCCAACTGCGCCAAAGGATTGTTTTTCATCTTCCTGTTACTCCCTGTTAATTTAATTTTTTTTTTTTAAGACTTCAAACACATATCTGCAAAGTGGTCTTCAAATGAAATATTTCAGTAAAAACATTTCACACACACTGGACAATCGCTTCAATTAAGCATGGATGATATGGCAAACATACAGAAACGTATATTTCTATATGAGCTCATTGGGTGAAATATGGCCTGTCCATTGACACTACAGGTGTAACTAAAGAATGTAAAAATGTACAGTAAAGGTATAAAATGATAGATTACAATGACAGGTAAGGTCAATAATATGGCAATAAGAGTTATACGTTATGTATGCTGAACATCTAGCTTGGTTTTGGAAATAGATTATAATCCAATTCCAGCCAAATGCCAGCCTCTGGAGCAGTTTATACTCAGTCTTCCTTTACAGTGCCATCCACTGCCAGCGGTGAAGGAAAACAACATTTTTTCTAAGCATAGTGGAGTATACTACTCTCTCCACATGCAAAACCTTCACATGGGGGCAGGCAGAGGCACCTCAGCCATGTATAAAATACATCTAGAATAGATAAGGTGCTTACACAGGGCTTCTCAATGGTTTAAAAAAAACACAGTGAAGGAAAAGTAGGGCTTGTGAGGGAGTTGGGATTTTACTATAAGATAGAAAAGGAATAAAATCAAACCTCAACATCTTCTAAGTTCATTTCTCCTGATGGAGGCTTAAATGAAGCTAACATCTCCAGTAAGTCAAAAAGAGTGGTGAGATGAGGTTCCTGCAGGAGAAGTAGCATGGGGATGTTTTCTTTCTGTGGAGGCGGCAGGCACGATGCTGGAAGCTGCACTCCGTCCCCTTTTCTTTCCCGCCGTGGAGCACCCAATGACACAAACACCATCTGAGCAAAACAAAATAGTCACAGACAAATTGAATTACACTTTAAAATGCTGAGAAAATGGTGATAGGCACTGCTTGGGAAGATTCAGCCTTGGGAGGCACTGCTTGGGAAGATTCAGCCTTGGGAGGCACTGCTTGGGAAGATTCAGCCTTGGGAGGCACTGCTTGGGAAGATTCAGCCTTGGGAGGCACTGCTTGGGAAGATTCAGCCTTGGGAGGCACTGCTTGGGAAGATTCAGCCTTGGGAGGCACTGCTTGGGAAGATTCAGCCTTGGGAGGCACTGCTTGGGAAGATTCAGCCTTGGGAGGCACTGCTTGGGAAGATTCAGCCTTGGGAGGCACTGCTTGGGAAGATTCAGCCTTGGGAGGCACTGCTTGGGAAGATTCAGCCTTGGGAGGCACTGCTTGGGAAGATTCAGGCTGGGGAGGCACTGCTTGGGAAGATTCAGGCTGGGGAGGCACTGCTTGGGAAGATTCAGGCTGGGGAGGCACTGCTTGGGAAGATTCAGGCTGGGGAGGCACTGCTTGGGAAGATTCAGGCTGGGGAGGCACTGCTTGGGAAGATTCAGGCTGGGGAGGCACTGCTTGGGAAGATTCAGGCTGGGGAGGCACTGCTTGGGGAGACATTGCTTTGGGAGATGCAAGTTGGAAGGGCACTGATCTGGAGCTACACATTTACAAAGTGAAGACATTCTTATTTTGATAATATATGCTATACTTCTAGAAACAATAATACACTTTATATTTACTACTGGATGCAAAAAATTCAAAGAGAGAGGTAACAGTTTATAAAAAAATACTACAAAACTTACAGTTGACTCTCTTCTTATTCTTCTATTAGGCTTGCCCAAAGCTTCAATAATTTCAAGAGCATAGAGAAGTTTGTGGGCACTTTTTATGCGAAGCAAGTCCTTCCAACATGGTCCATCATTTCCCTTAAAAGAAAAAAGCAGATAGAGGAATTAAAACAAACAAAAAAAAAACAACAACAACAACAACAACAACAACAACAACAACATCTACCATCTAGTGAAAATCTGACCTTAAGACAAAGCAGCAAAATTCACAATTGAAATACATATAACAAGAGTTTTTACAGCCAAAAAGCTTGTAATACTGTTTGGCCACTTCCATGATCCAGGTCACCCAGCCATATAGCGCAGCTAGGTCCTCAAACTCATCTAAAGCCCATTTAAAACTGAGCAATGAAGCACTGACAGTGCATTGATTAGGTCATACCTCTACTCCCTCCCTCCTACTGCCAATAGATTGTCAGCTTTACCCCTTATTGGGTCCCAATGCTTCCCTCTCTTAGTCCAAGTGTTGCTGTGCAGGGGATTACTAGAGGCCAACATCAAGACAAATTTTGGTACTTTCACTAGTTGCATTTGAAACCAAATCTAAAGATTTTAATGAATACATAAGTGCATTAAATCAGAGTTTTTATAATATCTGTTTAACTTTTAACATCAGAACTTCCACATCCAGCTTGTGGGCAAACTCCATTATCATCTTGCAGTGCACTGCTGAGGAATAAAAAATTGAAATAGCCCGGCAATATTCTACTCACCTGCTCCTCAGATACATTCTGGAATGCCTGCAGCATATTGGGACACGTGGGCAGCAACATCAGCAGCTCCCATACACGCCTAGATAGGTTCTCTGCATGGAGATGCAGCTCCTCACACCTAGCGCTCTGTAATCAAAAGATACTCATTTCTATTACACATTTGGCAGCTGGAAACATTGTAAATATACAATTTAAACCTAATAAAATTAAAAAACTTTTTCTAAAGCCACTGCCTGATCCTACTCATGATTTTCCAACTCTTGTACTACCTGTATTGTAGAGTTTTAATGTTTGATTATACTCCAACTGCGCCAAAGGATTGTTTTTCATCTTCCTGTTACTCCCTGTTAATTTAATTTTTTTTTTTTAAGACTTCAAACACATATCTGCAAAGTGGTCTTCAAATGAAATATTTCAGTAAAAACATTTCACACACACTGGACAATCGCTTCAATTAAGCATGGATGATATGGCAAACATACAGAAACGTATATTTCTATATGAGCTCATTGGGTGAAATATGGCCTGTCCATTGACACTACAGGTGTAACTAAAGAATGTAAAAATGTACAGTAAAGGTATAAAATGATAGATTACAATGACAGGTAAGGTCAATAATATGGCAATAAGAGTTATACGTTATGTATGCTGAACATCTAGCTTGGTTTTGGAAATAGATTATAATCCAATTCCAGCCAAATGCCAGCCTCTGGAGCAGTTTATACTCAGTCTTCCTTTACAGTGCCATCCACTGCCAGCGGTGAAGGAAAACAACATTTTTTCTAAGCATAGTGGAGTATACTACTCTCTCCACATGCAAAACCTTCACATGGGGGCAGGCAGAGGCACCTCAGCCATGTATAAAATACATCTAGAATAGATAAGGTGCTTACACAGGGCTTCTCAATGGTTTAAAAAAAACACAGTGAAGGAAAAGTAGGGCTTGTGAGGGAGTTGGGATTTTACTATAAGATAGAAAAGGAATAAAATCAAACCTCAACATCTTCTAAGTTCATTTCTCCTGATGGAGGCTTAAATGAAGCTAACATCTCCAGTAAGTCAAAAAGAGTGGTGAGATGAGGTTCCTGCAGGAGAAGTAGCATGGGGATGTTTTCTTTCTGTGGAGGCGGCAGGCACGATGCTGGAAGCTGCACTCCGTCCCCTTTTCTTTCCCGCCGTGGAGCACCCAATGACACAAACACCATCTGAGCAAAACAAAATAGTCACAGACAAATTGAATTACACTTTAAAATGCTGAGAAAATGGTGACAGGTATGATTTACAGGCCTTCATATATAACTGAAGGTCCAGCACACTTTCAGAAAGCTGGATAATTGAACCCATACAACTATTATTTTAGTTTTCTACAAATACTTAAAAAGAGAACGTGGACCCATTTCTATACGTATATGTGAGCAGCAAGGAGCCATCGACACTAGTACAAGGAAAGGACAAAATTAATATTATTAGGTATTTACATCACACTTTACATACTGTGCATTAACATCAGTCCCTGCCCTCAAGGAGCTGACAATTTATGGTCCCTATCTCATACGCATACATATGCGCATACACATAAGAAGGCCAAGCCATTAACCTACCAGCAAGGCTTTGGAGTGTGGGAGAAAATTTAAAAAAAAAAAAGACAAAAAAAGAACTATGTCATGCAACTTATTTTAGCTAAAGTTAATTGTACTGTTAATAACTGGTTCCTGGTATAACATATGACTAGATTATATAAGTTTTTACTATACAGTTCACACTTACTGCAACTTAAAATAAGTGTGACAGTTGATGTTGGCGGGCAGCTCATATAAGCTGTCAAGTATATTTTACTTAAACTTAAACTTAAATTTCTATCTCTTTTGTGATTTTTTTTTTTTTTTTTTTACAGTACATGGAATAAGTACAACCCCTTTGAATTATTTGGTTTTAAGTATCAGGACATAATAAAAAATCAAATTGGTCCTTAGGAGGTCTTCAATTTAGGTAAATACAACATATGAACAATACATGACGTAAAACACTGGGTCATTATCCATTTATATGCTGTGTGAAAAACTAAGTACACCCTTACTGCTTCCACAGAAATTAAGAGGCTAAGTGACAGCCAGGACCTGCTAATCAAATGCCATTGATTAATTGATCATCAGCAAAATGTGACCATGTCTTAAAATCCCAAGTTTTAGCAGTTTGCTGGTCTGCAGCATTTGTGTGTGTTAACACACAATGCCAAGGAGGCAAGACATCAATAATGATCTTAGAGAAGCAATTGTTGCTGCCCATCAATTTGGGAAGGGTTATAAGGGCATTTCCAAAAAATTTAAAGTCCATCATTCTACATTGAGGAAGATTTACAAGTGGAAAACATTCAAGTCAGCTGCCAATCTTCCCTGGAGGGTACGCCACAGCAAATTCACCCCAAGGTCAGAATGTGCAATGATCAGGCCTGAGCCAACATGTTAACTTTCATGACAGGACATAACATGTTTGTTCATAATGCACAGCGCCATGTTTTGTGAAAAACACACAAAGCATATCAGCACTAACACCTCATACCAACTGTCGAGCACGGTGGTGAAGGGGTGATGATTTGAGCTAGTTTTGCAGCCACAGGACCTGGGCACCTTGCAGTCATTGGTATACAGAGGTGTTCATGGTAGACTCAAAATATTCTAGAGTCACATATGAGGCCATCTGTTTGGAAGCTAAAGCTTGGCCAAAATTGGGTCATGCAACAGGACAATCATCCCAAGCACACACCAGCAAATCTACAACAGAATGGCTGGGGAAAAAAAAAAAAAGAATCAAGGTGTTGCAATGGCCCAGTCAAAGTCCACACCTCAACTTTGTTTATGCACAGCTCTCAATGTCCCTCCATTACATTTCAGCAAATGCCCACAAACTTCAATGGACTTAAGCAATGTTGCAAGGAAAAGTGTGCCAAAATTCCTCCACAACGATGTGAGAGACTGAGAAGGTCATACAGAAATAACACTAAAGTTAAGTTATTGCTGCTAAAGATGGTTTTACAAGCTATTGAATCATAAGGTGTACTTAGTTTTTCACACATGGCTTCTCCATTTGGCTTTAGGTTTGCAGCACAGTGGCGTAGTGGTTAGCGCTTCTGCCTTGCAGCACTGATGGTCTCCATGCTGGTAGGTTAATTAGCTCCTCTCGAAGTTGGCCCTCTATGTATGCATGTGCGATAGGGACCTTAGATTGTAAGCTCCTTGAGGGTAGGGACTGATGTGAATGTGCAACTATGTAAAGTGCTGCATAAATTGGTCGGCGCTATATAAATACCTGTAATAAATAAATAAATAAATAATGACTCGGTGTAATGTGTTGTTGTTATTTACCCAATTTACCCAAGACCCGCTAAGGACCAGCTGGTGTTTATAATGTGCTGATACTTAAAACCATAGAATTCAAAGAGGGTGTACTTTCTTTTTCACAGGACTGTACGTTCATCTACATAATAAGTTTAGTTTTCAGGGCTAAAGCTTGAAATGGGAGAAGCTCAGGTGTCACTAGAGGAAAGCACACATTGCTTGTGATATTGCTTGTGAATCACTGCTCAGCAGCAAATCAGCATTTACATTACCCTCCATCTTATTTCCCTTCCATTATGGCTGAGCCTCTAGTAAGCTTTTAAATAGTTTTATAGCGAAACAAAAAAGGCACAACCGCAAGGGCTGAACCGAACAGCCAAATATTCTGTGTGACTAAGACCCAGTTTTATCCCCTGAACTTGCAGTAATTTTGTGGTTTTACTTTAAAAAACAATTTCCATTGAAAAGGTTGAAAGACTAAAGATACTGGTACATATTTCTTCTATACTACCAACATCTGGTAGATAAAGAATATATGCAAAACTGCCTGTAGTTTTAAAGTTACAACTGTGAACCAATATTTAATTACCTAGCAAGTATGACAATTTTTCAAGAAACAGAAGTTCCAACTATTAGAAAAAAAATGCAATTACAATACTACAGGTACAAGGCATGCCAATTACATACCTGCATGTCCTTAAATCCCAGTTCATGGAGAGTTTTTTCATCATAATCCGTTGTTAACTCATGACCAGATGAAATCATCCGTACAGGACCCATAAGACCTCCTTTGGAAATAAACAAATGCATCTAACTTTTTTTTCACTGGCAATAAGCAATTCGACATGGTTTTTACAGCATGCTATAAAGACATTAAAAACTATGCAGTATTTAAGAACGCAAAACATGCTGTAATCTGATATTCCAGTACTGCACAATAGTGTGAAAGGACATGCTCTTCTATATATCGAAACTTAAGACAAAAAAAGACAAAAAAAGACAAAAAAAGACAAAAAAAGACAAACCTGACCGAACTTTTGAAATCTAGTTGTTCTCTTACATAAATAGCTTACAAAATAATTTAAATAGCTACATGCTCTCTTTTAAGGCACTAGAACAATAATTCTGGACATAAACATTATCAGCACCATATGGCACAATAATCACATTTTGTTATACAATGCAAAGATAACTCTGTTTAAAATGAGTGAATTTAACTATTTTTCCAGGCAAGACAATCTGAATATAAAACAAACTTTTCCATTGAGGATGAAACATTCAAAATTGATTTCAGCTGCTCACTTATAGTTATGAAGCCCCAAAGCATGTTACACATCAGTTATTACAGTGAATTTAAAAATTATTAATACAGAGGCACAAGAGTTGGGAAATTTTCCAGGAGCTAAATAAAGTGTTTGTTGTACTCTGGCCAAGGTGAGACAGGTTAATGTTTCCCATGTATATATGGGGCAACTCCTTAATGTGCAATATTCAAAAGCAGCTAATTCGGCGCTCCAAAATTGTGAAAACATCCTTACAACTAATTCCACTTTCATTGGAAAAAAATTAATTAATCCCCACTGAGTGATCAATGTACATTGCAAGAATTTTAAACAAACTCAGTTGCAGATTCGTACCATTTTGGTTTTGAAGAAATAGTTTATTTCAGCATTTCTTTTGCAACTGATTTCTGAATGATAGGGTCTGGGTTCATTAAAACAAGCTGCAGTAGTAATTCATAGGGGGTACCTCACCAAAAATGAAATTGCATGCCTATTCCAAGGGATGCCTAAAATTGTAAATATGTTTTTGTCCAGACTTCTGGGAAAATCTGTCAGCCAATTACAGAAAGCAGAAAGTGACATATTTAGGAGGGTTCTGCACACCAAGTGTGTACAAAATGCCTACTGGTCACCATATTGCATTGAATTGATAGTTTTGGAAAATTACAGCGGCTGCAGTTTTAAATGGAAAGGTAACTAACATTAAATTCAGCAATTGCAGCAATTATACTGTATATGTTACAATTTTAAGATGGTTTAATTGTATTTTTTTAAGTGGAGTTGTTCCTTAAGACCTATAGAAAAACCATGAACATCCCAAGAAAAACCACAGAAATTAACATGGTTCAGAGAACTCAAGGCAATCCGTTGCAACAATTTACTCCATTGGCAACATGTAAAGATGTAGAACATATAGGAGACTCTAAACAATATCATATTGAAACAACATACACACAGAGCTGCCAATGTGGGTACAGCACATAGGTTAGCAGAACAAAAACATATAAACAAATATGTTACAAAAGCCCAAACACTAGGATACACAAACTGAATGTGCAGAGGAAAAAAAAAAAAAAGAAAATGTGAATACAATTTAGACACCCTCCAGAGCCAATAACTATGATAAGCTCCGTGGTCCACAGCCCTGTTCCCTGCTGCCGCCCAAAAAAGCTTGATGGCAACTACCAGCAATGCAAAGTATTTTGTATTTAGATTTTGGCACGCCTGCCACAACATTCTGAGAACTGCATGGCTGGAGGGCATGGGGTGTGACATCGGTTTCCCTATACCTGTAGTACCAGGATTTTGTCTTAAAGTGACACTAAACTTCAAGTACCCTAACTATTAACAAAAATGTATCTTATTTGTGTATCACTCAGCTGAAGGTCCTGAAATCATCTCTGAATTCATGCTGACACTGTCCTTCCTTCTGGAGAGTGGCTACTTTTTTTCTCGATGGTCCCTGTGTGTGTTGTAAAGTAGCCACCAGTCAAAGCTAGCTCCTGTGATGGACTACAATCTCATGTTTAGTTTACCAATATCGAAATTGTTGTCCATCCAAGGAGCGAGCTTGGAGTGGTGGCTAATTCAAAACCCACACACAGGGGCCAAAGAGAACATAAGTAGTCACCCTCCAGAAGGAAGGACAGTGTACGCACCCATTCAAAGATGATTTGACGATCTATAGCCAAGTGATACATAAATAAGATACATTTTCTCTGCTGTAGATCCTCAACTCATCTCTGAATTGGTGCCGACACTGTCCTTCCATCCGGAGGGTGGCAACTTTTGTTCCCCATGGTCCCTGTGTGTGTTGTAAAGCAGCCACCGATCCAATCTCGATCCCATGATAGACTATGATTTCAATAAAAATTTGTAAACTTAACATGAGATTGTAGTCCAACATGGGAGTGAGCTACATTTTTGTTAATAGTTGGGGCACTTTCAAGATTTAACCCCTCACTTGAACACCGGCAGTGACAAATCTGCATTTATCTGCACTTAGCATACAATTGATTATCAATGATATTCACACTTCATATTCAGTTTAGCCACATTTAGAAAAATTAGAATTTTGTTTCGATTAGAGTCTTTATACGCATGTAAAAATGGGTCTAAATGCAAGAACATGTAAATGCTGGAAAATGTGATAAAAGTTGTTTATTCCCAGATAACTTCTCCTGGATTTAGAAAAGCTAAACGAAGGAGTACCAGTAGGAATGAGGCCCAAATCTTGTTTTTAAGATGATACTTCCCTAACTTTAAAGAGACTCTGTGACTTTAAAGTGACCCTAAACTCAGGAGGTAAAACTTACAAATGCATTCAAGTTCCTTAACTATTAACAAAATTGTATCTTATTTGTGTATCACTTACTGCAGATCCTGAAATCATCTCTGAATTGGTGCTGACACTGTCCTTCCTTCTGGAGAGTGGCTACTTTTGTTCACCATGGCCCTTGTGTGTGTTGTAAAGTAGCCATCGCTCCAAGCTTGTTTCTTTGATGGACTATAATCTCAATACAAATGAGTAAACGAAACATGAGATTGTAGTCCGACACGGGTGAGAGCTTGCAGCAGTGGCTACAACACACACAGGGAACATGGGGAATTAAAGTAGCCACCCTCCAGAAGGAAGGACAGTGTCCGCACCAATTCAGAGATGATTTCAGGATCTGCAGTAAGTGATACACAAATAAGATACATTTTTGTTAATGGTTAAGGAACTTGAATGTATTTTTAAGGTTTAACTCCTAAATTTAATGTCACTTTAATGATTGCGGCACTGGAGTAAGTGCTTGGCAAAGCGGCGATATGGATCTACCTCTCAAGTTTTTTGTTTTTTAAAAAAATCTAAGCTAACTTACAAAACCTGTTAATTGATATGCAGATTCCGTAACTTAACACTGTGCGTAATAAAATGTTAGTGGCTTGAAATGTCAGTGGCTTGAATCCATGTACATTTTTGCTTTATTTTTTTATAGTACCATTCAGGCTCAACACCCAAAACAGCCATCTACAATACCACACAAAGCGTAAATCTCATTGCTCACCAGGAAAATCACCTTTACGGCTGCTCTGTCCAAACTCTTGAAGCTGAGGCTGTTGATTTAGCTGATCTTTCTGTAAATTTTCATACCAGTGGGTGACTTCTGCCCGCAGGTCAGCTACCTGGTCACTTGGATACATTTCTATGGTCATCTAACATGGGACAAAAATAAACACATTAATTATGGGAAAATGCAGCCACATTCTTTGTAATAAAGATGGTTGTACCCTGACCTTATCGGGAAGGCCTGCAGGTTGGCAAACAATTCTAAGAGGCAATGACTGCTTGTCATTTAGTGCTTTCAGGTGACTGCTGATACCAGTGCCTTCAATCTGCCATTGCCTTAGATGGTAGGCAAACCTAGGTGAGAAAGAGAATAGGGACATTGCAATAAAAACATTTACATACTTGGATTATGAGTCCATCGGGACTGTTTAAACAGACTCCCGGCAGCTTTTACCGCCGGGGCCTGTTTAAACTTGTAAAGCCGACTGTCGACTTTACAGTGGAAGCAATTTCGGCGACCCAGCTGTCGCCAGATCGTTTCTACGGGCCGGTGAAGGGATGTCCGCCCCCCCCCCCCCCCCCCATATAGTGAAAAA